ATAAAATCAGAAGGAACAATAAATAGTTTCAGCGATCTGGTGGTTTAAATGGGCGAAATCGCTGGAAGGATTCAACACTGATAAGTCAAGCTTTCTTCAGTTCGATAATTGTAAAAATTCAGCTCTCCTAAATGATTTTAAAAAATTCAAGCCGAATAATTCAACCCTCAAAATGAATGTATGTATATAAATGTTTATGTAAAAACATACATCTATGTAAACGCTAACACCTTTATTTTTATTTTATGACACAATAAGGCGCTTCCTTTATAGGTATTTTTATATCTAATTTTTACCACTTACATATAAGGTTTCTAATATATCTTATTGTTTTTTAAATTTTATTTATTTTTGTATAATATGTTTATAACTGCTACTGTTTAAAAATGTAAATAGACGCATTTATCCCTAGCCGGGATATCGCGTTTTGTGTGTTGAAATAAATAAATAATTTTTACCACTTGTGTGCTCTCACTTAAAATAATGATTTAATTATTTCGAACTCTTTTTAAAATAAGGAAACGATGAGTCGTTCGATTAAAAACATAAAAAAATACTTGATATGGATTAGATAACAATCTTGGCATGCTTCCTCTTCCTTGAACCTCGCTCTAGAAGCTCACTAACAAATTACCAAGTTACGAAGGAGCCAGAATAAACTTCTACACAACTACATGGAATTGAAGGTGTAGCTGGTAGATTTCCCTAGAAGTAGGTCTAACCTCCCCGTATCTACAAGGTGGTAGTCTACGCCCCAGAAACCGACTCCCCTGGCATGCCATCCTAATGAAGGGTCCCCTGGGGCAGGTAATTGGAGGGGGAATTAAGGCTACGGACTTTTTAAACTAGAGCTGATAACACCGCGATCAAAGAAACTAATTATGTGCTAAAAAGTTGTTTCGAGAGGTTTTGTGATGCGTCGTTCTGAAGCGGGTCAGGCTGGGTCTTCAGTAGTCTGGGGGGCTTTGACCATTTACTTGTTTATGATACGTTAGCGCGCCATCTGTTAGGAAAATCCGAAACTATTATAGACCTGATTATATGAGGGCATACATTTGTGTATAAACACATTATTGATATGTGTGATTGTGGATCCACGCGGGTTTTCCTTATAGAATCGAGTAAGTATATGAAAATTCGACACTATTATAGACGCGTATGATTTTTCTAAATGAAACAATTTCTACTGCCCTTACTGCAATGGAAAAATTAATGGGAGGGCCCGGCTCATCAGTGAATGAACCCTCCCAGCGGTTTCGCTAGTTGGTAGATTAAACTGGCGAAACCGCTGGGAGGGTTCACCACTAATGAGCTAGGCCCTCCCATTAATTTTTCCATTGCAGTAAGGACAGTAGAAATGTTTTATTAATTAAAAGAATCATACGAGTCTATAATAGTTTCGAATTTTTATATACTTACTCGATTCTATAAGAAAAACCGCGTGGACCCACAATCACAGATATCAATAAGGTGATATACACAAATGTATGCCCTCGTATAATCAGGTTTACACGAAAAAAGCAATGAATATATAAAATTTGAAATTAAGGGAAGGGGTATCTTAAACCTATAAATCTTCATGTTAGGTATTTCATGTAACATCGACATGACGCTAGGACATATCCAGACGGCCGTTGGATTTATTAAACACTATCAGGATATTTCTGTTTAAATATAGACACTTCGGCCAGTAGAGGTTTTTATTTTCTCAATGTTTCAACAAAACCTGTTAGTATATTTCTTTAAAAAGTTTCAAAAATATATATCATCATGTATATATTTTATTTATATAGGTTTTATAATAATTTTATGGAAAAAAACTAGACCATTAGCCCGTTCTATGAACGGGTCTTGAGCAACAGCCAAGTTGTAAACCTTATTAAAGTTTACCGCGATATAAGTTCCCTCTGGAATAAACTCGTATAGGACCCGCTGCGACGTATAGTTCAGGAATAGTTAAAACCAACGTAGTGCGCACACAATAATAAATAAAAATAAAGACAAAAGATTTTTGTTGAAACGTTGAGAAAATAGAAACCTCTATTGGCCGAAGTGTATGTTGCCACGTGTAAAATTAGGAAAGACAAAAACTTCAGGAGGAGACAACAATTTATTTAAGGGAAGGACAAACTATGAATTGTAAACAAAATATAAGCCACGAGGGAAATTTACAGAGTCGCAAGATATAAACATAAAAAATGACCACTCTGTTAATGAAAAATAATAAAATTAATAAATACGATGTTACATAAATAAAATTAATAAATACGATGTTACATAAATAAAATTAATAAATACGATGTTACATAAATATAAATTAATGAATACTATGTTGCATAAATAAAATTAATAAATACTATGTTACATAAATAAAATTGATAAATACTATGTTACAATATTTTTAAAAAGAAATATGAATGCCGGCCAGGCAGCCTCTATCTATACCACTAACAGGATAGTAATATACAGATGGCCACCGCCATACTTACCGGACCATTTTATAGTCAACTTGTCTTGGACATACCTTTTTCCAGTGAAAATATCCCTCTCAAGACAGGTAAGGTACATTCGAAATAACAATAGTCTTTTGGCATTTTAAAAATAGCCTTCGGAATGCAAATTGATTCAAAGAGAATAAATTTCCAATCAAAATCAACTCGTTAATCATGAAAACGTCTAGAAAAAGAAAGCCCAAATTCAAATTGGGCGTAAGTAATAGTTTAATTTGGGAGAAAAAAAATTCAACTTGAGAGATTGATCAAAGCGTTAACAATTTTTTCTTAAATGGGGATATTAACACAATAAGCATTTTAAAAATATAAATAAAAGGGTAAAAATGTTTTTAAAATACACAAATAAATAATTATTTTATGAAGATTCCCTTATTTTTTGATCAATATTAATTTTAAAAAATAGTACTAAAATCAATTAATATAGAATATTAAATGCATTAGATATAAATCTATTTAATAACAATAACTGTTTTCCAATTATCAGGAAGTTTTCCTTTGGTTAAACTGGTGTCTATATTAAGAAAAAGACATCTCCTTATCGCGTAACTGAAAGTTGCTGATGGCTGGCGCCATCTATCGGAATAAATATAAAATATTCGCTGATTTTTTAATTATTCCAGAATTGGACAAATACCCATTCTTGATTAATCAAGAAAAGCTAACCACGTACGCGTTTCGGGTTGTTGGCCCTCGACAGAGTGGTGCAAGCTGTACCTCAACGGGAATACATTTTTTTACGGGTCTGCTAACCAAAATATATGATTATTGAGTCCCAATCTGCTTTTGCATGCCGAATCTCTTTTCTGTACCTCAACGACCCAAAACTGGTCATTCAGGCATCCTGAAAAATCATGAAACGGGTAGTTAAGGCCAGAATTGCGTAAGGACGCTAAACAATGTGAAAAATAGTACAAATGTGATACTGGGATAAGGTGATTAAATTAAGAAAAATACATCTCCTTATCATGTAACTGAAAGTGTCTGATTGCTGGCGCCATCTATCGGAATAAATATCAACTCTTCGTTGATTTTTAATTGTTCCAGAATTGGCCAAATAGTTGATATTTATTCATAGCGCCAGCCATCATGCAACTTTCAGTTGCACGATAAGGAGATGCCTTTTTCTTAATTTGTTCACCCCTTATTCCAGAACAATTTAATATTTGTACTATTTTTTTTTCTCATGGTGTATATATGTTATGTTTAAAATATTTTATTGATATCACATACAAGTCAATGGTTGAAAAGATGAAAAATAAATATTGTAACGTTTTTGTGTTAAATGTTGAAATATGTTTTTACATTGTTAGTTTGTTGTTGTTTATTATCGTATGTTTTTAAATACATCACATGTAATGATGATATATAACAAACGACTTTTTGATTTTATATACAAAAATCAGTGAAAAAAAAAGAAAAATAATTAAATATAAAATTCACAAATGTGACATAACCCTCGGCTTTAAGGATTTATTAATTTTCGTAAAATAAATGACTTTAGTTGTGAAACATGAACTTTAACTAAGGAGGAATCTTCTCTTGACAATTCGCATGTAACATTTGATATCACTCTTGATACTCAAAATGAACCCTCATACTTTGGTGATGTTTTGACCAAGCTTGGTTCATTAAAAGCAATTTTACGAAGGACCAAATCTCTAACTTTGAATGATGATGACGGATGTCTTGTATCAGCGAAAAAATAAATAATTAATTATAAAAATTAAAAACGTGACAATAAAAAGAATAAAAAGTTTGAAAAATATATTTAAAAATCGGATTTTTTTACAGGTAGGTAAAGTCCAGAAGGCTTCTCCAACGACAAATAGACAATGGAGAGATTCTTAAAGTTGTTGTCACCAAGTGTCACATCACTTTCCTCTGTTCCAGTTAATCCGCCCCTCAATGGGATGTTTGCTCTAGATGTCGACACAATGGTTTGTACTTTTATTTGACATCAACCTCATACATAATTGGATGGTGAGTTTGCATATCACATGTAAGATATGACAGCCTTCTAATAAAGTATTTTCCGAAGAGAATTTCTTTTTTTGGGGGGAAAAATAACACTGGTCTACACTGAAGAAGATGTTTTGATAATGCTGAAAAAGATGTTTTGATTAAACTGGCAAACCGCTGGGAAGGTTCACAACTGATTAGCCTGGACTTCCCATTATTTTTATCATTGCAGTAAGGCTACAGAAAAATAATTTTATTCAAAAGAATCATAGGCGTCATAAATAGATCAAATTTCCGATAACAGATGACGCGCTAATGAATATTGTTTATATTATTATATTTGTTTCTAACTGTGAATTTGAGGTATTTCTATAGGTATTCATGTTTCATAACATAACGATATACATAACAGAAAGATACATTATAAAGGACTGCGGCGTGTGATTATAAACAATATAATCACACGCCGCAGTCCTTTATAATGTATTATAAGTTACTTTAAGTATTATTTACGAACGGAGAAATACGTTCAGGGTAGCCTGGTGGACATGGCACCTGCCCGGTAAGCAGAAGGTTGTGGGTTCGATTCCCGCCCCTGGACACTTTTATTTTTCCCGTTCGCCATTACTCTTCATATTTCCACCCTTTCATACTTCATTCAAAAAAGTTAGAAATAGTAAATATTTCTCTTTGAAATAAATATTGATTTTTCATAGAAAAGAAACTTATGCGGTATAACTTTAAGAAATATATATATTTCAAAGATAAGTGTAAAGCTATTGTAACTCTCTGGTGGCACAGTATAGGATATAATGATAATATCAAACAATTTCACAGGGTTGTCATATTTGCACAAGATGATCGATATGTTTGAAACTTCACATTTACCCAAAATAATAAAAGCTTTTCTTAATTAATCAAGAAACGGTATTTGGCCAATTCTGGATTAACTAAAAATCACCGATTAATTGATATTTATTCCGATAGATGGCGCAAGCCATTAGTAACTTTTAGTTGCACGATCAGGAGATGTCTTTTTTTTCATTTATCTACCTGATCCAAGTATAAATTCACTTTTTTACTATATTTCATAGTAAAATGTGTGACGATAATCCATTTACTTCATAGAATGTAGCTGATCACACCGGGAGGAAATGACGATATATATTTTTTACTTTTATCAATCAAAAATTGAAAGAAATATAAGAACTATCACATCAATAGCTCTGTCTTGCTGGACATCTTCAGATGATAAAATTAATTAGTAGAAACACATACATTGGCAAGAAAGTTATTCACCCAAATTCTTAAATTACAATGTGAATCGAATATAATTAATAAAATATTTCATCTCTTCTCCCAGCTACCAAAAGACTATATTTTGATTAAAATATTTTAGATAATTTATTAAAGGGATTAACAATGACTTAATATAGTTTCTTGTTTTTAAAAATTTTGGCAGAATATATTTGATCAACACTATAATTTATATATCATATCTTCTATATATGTGAATATATTTTTATAATCGTCTATTTTTGATTTCGCATTTCGTGTGAATGAGAAGCAAAAAGAGGAAAATATGAAAAATCTCTCATTATTGGCATTAAAGAAAATTGATAGCCATCAAAGAAATTTGAAATTATACATCTATGACCATTAACTATTAATTATATATTGAACTTATTGATTTTCGGGGATAAGAAAGTTTCAATCAAGTGGCCCAATATTTGACGCCTTTCCGGTTGCCCCAGCTTGTTCAAACTTTAGAAGAAGAAACAAATTGTTACCACAGAACAAACAGTTCAACATTGAATAGGTTGAAGGTAAGACTTTCTATAATGACACACTGAGCTGATATGACACAATAACCACAGAAATCTTCCAATCTTTGCAGTAATAGCATATGTCACTTTGTTGGATTCTGGTCTCCATTGTCTCTTGAAGACTCTCTACTGAAGAGAGCTATCCGATATCGCATTATATATACTTCCTTATTAGACTTTGATTCCTCTTTTTCTCGCTGAAGACTAATTCAAAAGCAACAAACCTAGCTCGTGTTGGATGATATCATGAGATATGGAATTGACTAAATAATTGGTCAGAAGGATTTCAAAATCAAGATTAGATAACATTTTAGAAAATCTGAATCTGGATATCTATTTGAGAAATAATATTCATAATAAAATTTAAGAACTAGTAGAATGTGAAAGCCTTTTAAAATATTGTGTTAAATTTAATAAATCCCTTTCGTGGTTTCACATAAGATTTAATGAGTAACAAATTGGTTGTAGGTCGTGTTTTTTTAAAGAAAGTTGGCACCTTGTTTTACACAGACTTTATCTGATGGTGAGCTGAATAGTTATTCCAATTGGAAGATAGAGCTGGTGATGTGATCTTTGCTTAATTTTAGAACAACTCATTTAGAATCATGGGGAAAAATGTAAAAACTTTCAAACAAAAAAAAGGACTCGTTCGCAAAATATAAATCTGTTCAACATAAACACTGAATTCTGTGTATGTAAGTTACTGTGTGTAATAAATGTAAAATATGTGGAGTCACAACCACCTCGCGGCGTGAACTTCCGCTCTTAGACCTACTAACGGTGCTGAGGTTGGATAGTGACTAGATAGTCCTGGAATATGACAACAGTGGAACAGGGATAGTGGCCAAATAGTACTGAAAAATGACTACAGTGAGTCGGGGATAATATCTAGATAGTACTGGATCATGATGACAGTGGGCTAGGGATAGTGGCTAGATGATAGACGGTTAGATCTATTGTCGCTATGTTCCAGTCCTATCTAGCCACTATCCCCGCCCCACTGTCGCTATGTTCCAGTCCTATCTAGCCACTATCCCCACCCACTCTCGCTCTTTTCCAGTCCTATCTAGCCACTATCCCCGACCCACTGTCGCTCTGTTCCAGTCCTATCTAGCCACTATCCCCGACCCACTGTCGCTCTGTTCCAGTCCTATCTAGCCACTATCCCCGACCCACTGTCGCTCTGTTCCAGTCCTATCTAGCCACTATCCCCGACCCACTCTCGTTCTGTTCCAGTCCTATCTAGCCACTATCCCCGACCCACTGTCGCTATGTTCCAGTCCTATCTAGCCACTATCCCCGACCCACTCTCGCTCTGTTCCAGTCCTATCTAGCCACTATCACCGACCCACTGTCGCTATGTTCCAGTCCTATCTATCCACTATCCCCGACCCACTGTCGCTATGTTCCAGTACTATCTAGCCACTATCCCCGACCCACTGTCGCTATGTTCCAGTACTATCTAGCCACTATCCCCGACCCACTGTCGCTATGTTCCAGTACTATCTAGCCACTATCTCCGACCCACTGTCGCTATGTTCCAGTCATATCTAGCCACTATCCCCGACCCACTGTCGCTATGTTCCAGTCCTATCTAGCCACTATCCCCGACCCACTGTCGTTCTGTTCCAGTCTTATCTAGCCACTATCCCCGACCCACTGTCGCTCTGTTCCAGTCCTACCTAGCCACTATCCCCGACTCACTCTCGCTCTGTTCCAGTCCTATCTAGCCACTATCACCGACCCACTGTCGCTATGTTCCAGTCCTATCTATCCACTATCCCCGACCCACTGTCGCTATGTTCCAGTACTATCTAGCCACTATCCCCGACCCACTGTCGCTATGTTCCAGTACTATCTAGCCACTATCCCCGACCCACTGTCGCTATGTTCCAGTACTATCTAGCCACTATCTCCGACCCACTGTCGCTATGTTCCAGTCATATCTAGCCACTATCCCCGACCCACTGTCGCTATGTTCCAGTCCTATCTAGCCACTATCCCCGACCCACTGTCGTTCTGTTCCAGTCTTATCTAGCCACTATCCCCGACCCACTGTCGCTATGTTCCAGTACTATCTAGCCACTATCCCCGACCCACTGTCGCTATGTTCCAGTACTATCTAGCCACTATCCCCGACCCACTGTCGCTATGTTCCAGTACTATCTAGCCACTATCTCCGACCCACTGTCGCTATGTTCCAGTCATATCTAGCCACTATCCCCGACCCACTGTCGCTATGTTCCAGTCCTATCTAGCCACTATCCCCGACCCACTGTCGTCTGTTCCAGTCTTATCTAGCCACTATCCCCGACCCACTGTCGCTTTGTTCCAGTCCTACCTAGCCACTATCCCCGACTCACTCTCGCTCTGTTCCAGTCCTATCTAGCCACTATCCCCGACCCACTGTCGCTCTGTTCCAGTCCTATCTAGCCACTATTCCCGACCCACTGTCGTTCTGTTCCAGTCCTATCTAGCCACTATCTCCGACCCACTGTCGCTATGTTCCAGTCCTATCTAGCCACTATCCCCGACCCACTCTCGCTCTGTTCCAGTCCTATCTAGCCACTATTCCCGACCCGCTGTCGCTATGTTCCAGTCCTATCTAGCCACTATCCCCGACCCACTGTCGCTCTGTTCCACTACTATCTAGCCACTATCCCCGACCCACTGTCGCTCTGTTCCAGTCCTATCTAGCCACTATCCCCGACCCACTGTCGTCATGTTCCAGTCCTATCTAGCCACTATCCCCGACCCACTGTCGCCATGTTCC